CTTTATTGTGGAAAAGTACTTGATGAACCGCAATCACATCAATGTAAAGCTGAGTGTGGGTGTGCTGTCAGTGTAGCAGAAAGTTTTGCTCGCAGCAGGTATAGAAATATGTGATTCTCTGCAGCTCAGAGTGCACCGTGGTGCCTCCTGGAAATGCATTTGACATTATCCACTTTACTTCATTGATGAAAGGAAACCAACTTATAATAAATACCCCCAGCGACCCGCAGTTTTAGCCACGTCAATTTGATACATATAGGCTAGAGCAGGTGCTTGTCTTACGAGCATAATATATTCATTATCATGAAGTGAACAAATAACAAAACAAACTTTCCGTAGAAAGTCAGTTTGTTTGTTGGATATATCTGTCTGTTGCTAACTACAATATTCATTTTTCTGTAGTAGAAATTATGTCTCTCCAAGATGTCAACCGCTCTGGAACAAAAACAAAAACAAACTTTTATAACCGTGGTGCCCCATGCACTTTTTTTTAACATTTTGGGAAATACACTTATTTGCTTTCTTCCCAAGAGTTAGATGATAAAAGCGACACCCCTCTCTTATCTGTCCTGTAAATATACGGCTACAGCTAGCAGCAGCCTCTTAGCTTAGCTTAGCATAAGACCAGAAACAGGAAAATCACCTCACTTACACGGTTGAAAAATATACAAAATCTTCCTACCATTGCATTTAAAGATAATTTAGAATAAAAAAGCTATGCACAGAAAACCTATTTTTCCTCTTTGTTTTTTGTAACGATTAAACAAAGGAGACATAATGTATTAAACCCTGAGATTCAAAGGTCCTGGTTGGCAGATTAGTTTACTGCTAAGAGCCAGGCTAGCTGTTTCCCTCTGTTTCCAGTCTTTGTGCTAAGCTAAGCTAAGCCCACCGGCTGCTGGCTCCAGCTTCATACATGACAAACAGAAACTCTCGGCAAGAAAGCCAGTTAGTCCAAAATTGTCAAACTATTGCTTTAAACAATCAAACACCCAGACTTGATTCATAGTTTTCACTGGTCTGAGAGCAGTTTAGTTGACTGTATTTTTCTTCACAATGGCACTTTATCCCTAACATGTTCGTCAGACTTTTATCCAAAGCAGTTTGCTTAAGTTTCAGGACTGAATCACAAATGTATTGAGACAAACCAGTAAGTTGGAAAAAAAGGAACCTGCTCCTCAACTGTTGGTTTTAATTTTGCTTGAAACCACCAAGGTCTTCTCAGCAAGCAAAGAAATGAATAACCTGACAAAGTAAAAAAGTTTTCTTCAGCTGCTTGAAGGTCCCTGATACCGACCTGAAGCAAATAAGCTTTGCAGACGCTTTTGTCTCCAGCATGTGTGTCAGGAGGAGTTTACTTGCATGTCTTCTGCTGTGAAAACACCAATTCACCTTCACACACGATCGCCGTTCGCTCACCCTGTTGTCTTCCAGACATCCACTGTGCTTACCTCGCCATTCATCCCTCACTATATGTCTTTTCAAATTAGAGCGTATTGTTTCAGACGTATCGCTTAGAGTACGTGTCGTTAATATTGAGGGCCAGTGTATTAAATGAAGGCAGCATTTCAGTTGAGACGAAATCATTTGAGCTTTGCTCATAAGTTACAAGCTTTGTTTTTTTTATGGCCTGCTTTTTAAAATCCCTCGTTTTATTCCACAAGTTTTACCCATTAAATCATGATTCATATTTGTGTTGTGACGATTTCATTGTGTACGGTTAATATTCACATTTTGAATAGGCAGATTTTGTAGGCAGATTTAAGTCTGTTTGTGGTTTTGTTGCCCCGCCAAAACGCTTTCAGAGTTGGGATCATCGTTTTCGTAGATGTAGAGATGCTTGAGGAATATTCGTAAGTTGCATTTTCACTCTCATCTATTGTTTTTGTTTTGCATGTCATTTCATTATCATTTCATTATCATGTATTTATCCTTTTCCTTTGAAGACAACACAAACACATTCAAGGAATTCCTTAAAAATAATTGCTGTTTAAAGCTGCTTAGGTCCTTGTGGCCACCAGGGTACACACTAGCAATGTCAAAACAACATATTGTTCTTATTTTGTTTAATGCACCACGCAAGTTTATTCTCTTGCAGTGACTTTAACTTGTGGGAGATTCGATTCTGATCAAAGTTGACCCAAAACATTGTTTGGTAGACCCTACAAAAAAGAGCAACAATAACTGAAATCAACACATAAAACAGTTTTGTCTTAAGGCACAATATTCATATTTGTGCAGATCAAGATTTGGTGGTGATTTCATATCCTGCTAGGGTTGTGATTTATATAAAATACAAAATATAAATATAATTGGAACGAGCAGGTAGTTTTCTGGAGAGCGGAGTCAGCACAAATTTAATAGCAAAATACAATTGTGGTGTTTGGAACTTGACTCTCCGTCCACCCAAAACAATTTTAACTGAGTGAAGGCATCTGTGTCAGGAAGTATTTATTAATCCAAGCAGTACATGTCCTCAAACAGTGGGACGTATGATTGCCTTTTCTTTCAGTGCATTTAATCTATGTGCACTCACAAAGCCAAACACAGTTTTGCATTCCTCATCCGGTGCCAGTACCTTGATTAAAAACTTGAGCAGCCAGCACTGAATGATACAAAATAAATACATGAACCTCTGCACTTTTCTACAGAGTTATTGACTCTAACTCAGAACTCCAAGTCACAGCTTGGGAACCAAATTCCAGGTTTACACAAGGACATCAGCGTGATGGCTGACATGCTCAAGGATGCCCCATTAATGCTCTTTAAGCCTTTATAAACCTCCAAGTAGCAATTGGAAGCATTCTGTTTTGACTTCTAATACACTAACATTCAGACAATGGATGCGTCAAAGAACATGATGTGCAGCAGAATGCTGGCTCCAGTCCTTATGGTTAAATTGTATATTGGCAGGAAAGAAAACAAGTACATTTAGCAAAGTCTGCTGTTCAAGAGCGTCTCACAATCCTGTCTGGATGTTTGATATTCAATCAAGTAATGATAATTACAGGGAAGCATTACTTTATCAAATCATGTAAACAGCTGAAAGCTAGTAAAACAGCTATTTTACTTTTAACGGGGGGAGTTCTACTCAGCCTGTAAAAACAGCTGTGTAATGTCGTCTGTGGCTCTGGAGTGAGCATGAGGTAGCATGAGAAGACGTGGGGGTTATTTGCCAGACAGGGAGCATCAATTAAGAGATGCTTTTGAGTTGCATTATGGGAATTGTAGGATCCAGTATTTACTTATTAGGGACTCAAAGTCATCGCCTCAGTAGTTTCCATCTTTTTTAAAAATCTGTCTCGTGTGAGTCCACCAAAGTAAATGCTAAATTGCTGGGGTGCCCCTTTAATTAGACACAGTTTTACTCCATCTACTGACAGTGCTGACATCACTGTAGGCATGCAAGTGTAACCAAACTGAATGTGATAATTTAAATCAGGTCAGTTGGACAAATACAGGCAACTGATTAAAGCAATTTTTTTACAACATCTGTTGAAACATCCAGATGCAAATCGAGATGAAAGGGCTGATTTGATGCATGATAATGACCCAGAACCCAAACTAAACACCTCCACTATTTTCTGTATTTGTATCCAACCCCTTTCACCGCTGTGGAGCCACAATAGCAGAAACCCAGCTGGCCTAAAGCAGTTTGCACCACCGTCTGAGTTTGCACCTTTCTGATTCATGGAAATAGGGCCTGTGTTAGTGTTAGTGGCCAGTAATGCACATATGGCATATTAAATGCCACATCTGGTATTGTAAAGAACTGCTGCTCCTACAATTTCCCTTTACTGTGAATATAAAAGTAAAAATGTGTTATAGAAATACAGCATTTTTTTACAACCTGACAAGTCAACACAGATAATAGCAGGAGGACAGACAAAACAATATTAGTTGAGGAACTCAAAACAGTATAAAAAAGCATGAATACAGTAGATAATAGTTAATCCAGCCCCCTACAGAACAATATTACTGAAATTTGACTTTTATACTATAATACAAATTGTGTTTCTAATGTCTGATGAGTAAACCATTTGTTATCCTCACTGGTTAAGGGGCGAATTCACAAAGAATGGATTGCAGCCGCTGATAGCACCATGAATTGTGTGTCATTTGCAACCCCTATCTGCCCCATCTCAAAGCCCTATTCACAAGTTATTGCACAAATGATATTACTGTGCAAACACTCCCATAGAGTTTTGCAAGTGAGTGCAATTTCCCTTTGTTTTGCGTCTAATTGTAATTACCCATGTGGCAAATTGTAAATGTGCTTGAGGTCAATGCGTCGGTTGTGAGGGGGAGAGTCAGCCTGAGCCAGAAGACCCGACAGCCGAGACGATCCGGGCCTTTTTTTTTTTTTAATACCAGGCTCGGGTGGGAGTCGGGCTCATTTAACTCACGAGGCACTGCAGCGTAACTAAACAACAATTAGAACAATTAAATCTCAGTTTTTGCCCTCATGTATTTAAAAAAATTACATGTACATTCATTTATTTTTCACGACACAACTGTCATTGCATCTCTTCCCTGCATTCCACAATATCTTAGTGTGAGTGGACACCTTTTATGCACTTCAGTTACCACCAACCCTCTCAAGAAGCTACTAATTTCTCTGTAGCTCCGTGTGGCTATTAGTGCTGATCTTTGTGAATTGGACTGTCTTTGCAATGAGGCTCATTTGCATTGAAAGGGGCCAATTTTTGCACTAAATGTCTGCATATTACCTCATTTAAATATGTGAAAGTAGCACAGGAGCAGCGGGGACATTTCACCCTTTTGCGGGTGCTTTGAGAAATACACGGTTTCTCGGCACAGGTTCAGTGGTCGCACAATCCTCTGGTGAATTCGCCCCTCACTGTTCTGCTGTGCACTGCAATGTACTGGTGTGATGACGCTCCACTGCGAGGTTCAGTCAACTTTTCTTCAGATAAAGGAAACCCCCTGTGACCCTGCAGTGTTGTCTTCTCTCCTCTTCTTTTGTCTCCTCCTCGCAGGACTCAGGGATGCGTCCAGAAGAGCTGTTGAACCCGGCTGAATACATGAGCTACCAGCGAGTCTGCAACATGGAACCCTTCCCCGAGTCTCAGCCCGCTCCGACCTTCCCACCCACTACTTTCTTGCCTCAGCACCCCTACGCGCAGCACCCACCCAACGAGCCCACGTACTCCAACACGAGCTTCCCCGCCCCCGGCCCCGGAGCCCCGTTCACGTTCCCCAAGGAGCAATCCGTGTGACACAACACGTGCAACTCCCGGGTCTGCAAGAGGCGGCGTGATAGTGCCGCAAACGCTTCATGGGGAACGAAGCTCCACTGAACGGATGTGCATCCACTCCCACCTCGCTTCTGTGTGTTCTGAAAGCTTAAAACGCGTGAAAATAATTTCTAGCTCTGAATCCCCCAGTGTATTGTGCACCGCTTGCTCCACTGAGGCTGTCTGTAGGAACCCACTCACCTGTGTGATGTTAGCTAAACCACCAACTGCCCTCTCCCACCACCCTTCTCCCCTCTCGAGTGCCCACTCATCCTGTTTGTTTCTGATTGCTTCCTCACCTTTTGGATATTTTGCTTTTTTGCTAATCGTCTAAACAGTGTACAGAACATTGTATCACTCAGAATGCATTTTTTTTTTTTTGTCTTTCTTATTTATTTTTATTTTTTTACATTTCCCACAGTGGTAGTGACCTTTTATAGCAACGTGCTTCTTTTGTTTGTTTTCTGTTTGTCTGTCAATCATATGCTTGCTTCTTTGAAAGTCATGTACTGTATGTGTGATCGAGTGTGTTCTGGTGAAAAAAACAAACAAATTCCATTTGATTTGTAAAGCTAATTATCAATCTATAATGACATGGACCCCTTTAATGACAATTAATGACAGGGTTGTTACGTGAAGATGTGAATTGGCAGTCTCAACTGAATCCTCCATTACTTTTCATAATGGCTTTGCTGTTATGGATTTTGACTGGATATTTCGGACTTTTGGAAGCGAATGTTATCCTCATTAGCTATGAAGAAAAAAAGGGCTTGAGATCAAACAGTATCTACTTTCTTCTATTTCTCCATGTATTATTATCCATCCATCCAAGGTATTATTATTATTATTATTATTATTATCAGATAACAGTAGTTGCCAAAGACATATAGTTTCATTCATTTTTTGTCCGTTTGCTCTCACGCCAGCGTTTACATGAAAACTACCTTGTTCGATGGGAAATAAATATAGTTGATTGGCAACGTGCTACACTTTCCCAGTTTACATCATTCGTTTGCCATATGCTGTATTTTTCCATATCTGTATGTGACGACCTGAGTTCCTCACGGAGGTTGGTTTGAGGTCCTTTGCGTTGTCGGCCCTTCCTGTTTGTGAAGAGTTATCAACCGACAGGAGTTGTTCTTAATGCAGGTGCAATAGGCGAAGACAATCACATACTTGGGTTGTCCTGGGGAAAGAAAAGAAAACAGTTAACATAGGTCTACTCGTACCTAAAGGGAAAACTTTTTCCAAGGACAGCCCACACGTTAAAACAAATATCTTTTTGAATATGATTTGTACTAATATAGCCTGAAGAGTTTCAAATCAGTCGAAGAAACACTGAAGAGAAAAGCTTGCTACTGTATTTTTTTATAGAATGCTTAGTTATATACGATAGCACTGCACTTATTTTCAGAGTCCATGTTACACTGTGACTGTTCATTTCGAACCATATATAAGCTAATGTGCTTGATGAGCCAATTTCTGGATACTGCCTCCTACACACCAGCCCTCTAGACACAGCAAATTTGCATAAACTGAAAGTTCACTTCTTTTTTTTGCCATGTCAAATGTAGGTTTGGAAAAAAAAAATAATGGAAAGAAAATACTTTGTGTTTGTGCTCAATGTGAAAAAAAAAAAAATCCTTGAGGTGTTGAAGGTTATTTAGTGTTTACTCTTAATGGTGGTTAATGGGATAGAGTAAAACTTGTGAGACTTTCTCCCGTGCTCACCTTGTTGTCTTGCGATGGCTCGATATGTGTGCTAGCATTTAGTTTAAGCAGTGGTCTCTGGTTCAACCCGCTGAAGGAGTTTGATATTGCTGTACCTGCTGTGTGATAAAACACTGAAAACACTACTTTGTCTTTTTGTGACACATTTACTATTCATGAAATCCTTCCTTTTCATAATTATTATTATCATTATTATTATGTGTAAGTGCTACTACTTGCTAAAAAGGATGCTGACAATAGCATTTACATGTATTCATTTTCACTGTTGAATCCTTATGTTTTCAGTCACATGTCATTACTTCTAGTGTCCTGATGATAATTGCCATGTTTGTTTTCACCCTTGTTTTGTAAGACTGTAACATTTAGTTTTTATTTTTTTAAACATAAGCATATATAAAGACCTACAGCACATTTCTTTTTGACATTTATTGTATATTTGTCAAAGGATAATACCTGAATAAGTATTAGGGTAATGAGCTGTTTTTTTTTTGCTGAGATAATGAAAAGATGTTTTTTTTTATTTGTTTGATGTAAATATTAACAATGTATCTGATGTGTGAAAAAAATCAAGTCATGCAGTTTAACATTAAACTTCACAAACAACCCATGTTATAGTTGTTGTATTTCTATTGTCAACGCATTTGTACATGTCTCATACTTTGTTTAAAGCTGCAGTCATTTATTTCTTTTATGGCCACTTGGGGGCAGCAGAACAAGCTAAAAACACAACATTAAAAATGTCACCTTAAAGTTGATATGGCTAACATGTTAGCAAACAGTTGCCTATACACATCCAGCAGACACAGAGCAAAAAACATTCATTTGGAGTTGTGTTTCTGTCCACAAGATGAATGTAAGTCCAATGTTCACTCTCACTTAAGCTTTGTTTAGGACTCCACCAACCACTGTGGGAAATGTCTTGCTCTTTAGTTGCTAAATGCTCCACTATGTTCCCCAGCTAGTTGCTAACTCTGTGTGTCAGCTGCTGGAAATGAGGTAGATGAGAGTTATTGGGCTGGAGAACCAAAGACAACGAGCTACAATGGGCTAATAACCTCACTAGGATTAAGGGGAAGAGTGAAGTTGGTGATATTTCTTTGCTAGGAGAACAATGCGATCGCTCACGCGTGTCACTGCATGCCTCCATGAGTGAGTATGCACATTTGTGTCTGTCCACAGCTAATATCACATTCTGCTGCAGCAAACTGCATAATATTTGGGCACCCTTCATATTTACATAGGGAGCAGGGCCTCAATATTTGGTATGCTGTGTTTCTACAGTAGCCTCGTATGGACAAACCAAACACTGGCTCTAGTGAGAGCCTTTTGCTTTTTTTTATGTACCGGAAGTCCACAGTTTTACAACACGCTTGTGAAATTGTGGTAACGTGAGCCGCAGTGTGTAAAACTGTGTTACCTCCAGCCGCCGTCTGACTTCCCTTGCTCCTTTAGTCGTGTGATATTTGAACTGTTGTCAATATGAAATACTGTTTGGTGCAGTTTTTAAGCAATAATACAAGTCAATGCAAATGTAATATGGATATGATTTAAGTTAATATATACTACATATTTACCTTCATAGAAAAAAATATGTACCTGCTGGAGTTATACTAGCTAGCCAACATTCACTTCATTACTAATTATTTCTGTTAACATGCTGCTTATTTACACCTAATCACTAAATCAGTCATATCTAATCCATACTATTTGAAGTCATTACAACAACAGTGTAATCAGCTGAACCCAGTGGTTGTTGGCCGAAGTTGGAGGAGATCTAGTCGGGCTGCCAGAGAGTGTGTAGCCTACAGCAATGTTGAAGAGCTGCATGTTGAAGAATTCACACATAAAAAAAAACAAGTCTATCTATAGATCCTTCTATATAAAACATCCTTTTATATTAAGTCATGTTCACACACACAAACAATTGCCAAAAGATGCATTTTATAATGGATAGTGTATTCAAACATTTCAGCCTTTTTATACCACTGAAAGCTGATTTCTAAAAAGAAGAGTTTTAGAAAAGCCCTGCTGCTTCTTGCCTTTGGTACCCATAATGCATGGGTATTAGCGTCTCTCTCTGGCTGACTCCCTGCACACATGAATGGCACTAGAATAATATATGCGGTTCTTGATGAGACTTGTGGTGGCTTTTAGACCTTGTGGTTCAAATTGTGATAAATCGATTTCAATTTGAACGTGTGGGACGCTCAGGAGAATTTTCTTGATATTTTTTCAGCCATTTCTGTAGTGTGTAATCCAAATGGCTTTTCTGCCTCCGAGGATGTAACGTGGCCTCCGGTTGCAACTATGACCATCTTACCAAAATCCCAGCCCACCTTTGTTTTGGGGCATTGGGTAAACTCTTGGTCTACAAATTGCTGAACGAAACAGGCTACTTTCTTCTAATGTGGATGGTTTCTTGGCCATAGGCAGCAGGCCTCTTAGTGTGCATGTTATTATGACTAAGTAGTATGTTTAAGGAAGCAGTTTAGCCCTAATATGCTACACTTATTTATCTAGCCCTACTTGTGCCGCTACAGTTTCACTGTGAAGAGCCGGACTAGTGTGCTCCAATATAAGAATGTCCTTCAGAATACAATTGTTATTAATCAATGGCTGCCTGAAAGGAATGAATCAACGAAAAAAGGATGCTTCAGCAATAATGTGATGTTTACGATTTGAAGAACATATAAATGGGCTACAACATAGAAAAGGCACTCAAAGGGCCAGTGTGTAGCATCTGGGGGATCTATTATCAGATATGTGATATAATGTTCAGAACTGTGTTTTCGTCAGTGTATAATCACCTGAAACTAAGAAAAGTTGAGCACTTCATATCTACATAGGGAGCATGTCCTCAGTAAGGAGTCTGCTGTGTTTCTACAGTAGCCTCGTATGGACAAACCAAACACTGGCTCTAGTGAGAGCCTTTTGTTTTTTTACGTTACCTGAAGTCATCAGTTTGACAACACGCTTGTCAATCTGTGGTAACGTGGGCCACAGAGTGTAAAACTGTGTTACTGCCAGCCGCCGTCTGACTTCCCTTGCTGCTTTAGTCGCGTTATTATGGTAAGGATGGCCTTCTAGCGAGGTTGACGGCGTTACTGCATTAGAATATGAAATATGCTGGTAGTCTCTGTGACGTCACCCATAGGTTTCTAAAGAGTCGTGAATCTCAAATCGGTTGCCTCGGGCTGCCGCCATCTTGACAGTGACGACACAGCCTACCTCTTTGCTCACCCAAAAATGGCCGGCACTTGGATGACCAAGCAGAGCATGCAGCTAGTGGCAAGAGGGCACCAACCTGTCAGTCAAAGTGGCCCCACCCTTAATTATGCATACTTTTAAGCCTTAATATAACTTAAATGGGTGAGTTGTATAAAGTTTTTGCAGTTTTTGGCACTTAGGCGTTTGCTTCATTTCACAGCACCAGGTTGCTGCTTAGCTACCACAGATATGCGCTCTGCGGCTCACGATACCGCAGTCCTGGAAAGGGAGGAGTCAGTGGAGGAGTATTCGGTTGATTGCAATCTGCAATCACACCGCTAGATGCAGCAAAATCCCACACATTGTGCCTTTAATGTAATATAGCCATTAGACAATGAAGGGACGATTGACATATTGAAATCTTTAACTGATAATCTATTACCACTATCAGTACAACGCTGAATAATGGAACAGCATTTCATTTGATGATCCAGGTCTAAATACATTCAGTTATTTCATTTTTCGATTGTTAGGCGTTATTCAATTTGCGGCTGTGTTCATATTAGATTATTTAGCAGTATTATGTGCATGAATAATATTATTTGGTAGATGTTTGTCCTAAGCACCACCATATTTTCACATACTGTATATTATAGCTGGACTCACCAGTGTTATCCCATCCTAAATCAGTCTAGCTCAGGATAGCATTCTTTGAAACTTGCAAAACTTTTTGTTGCAGTAAAACTGAACACTGTTTGTTGCATAAGGAGAAAATGTGTTTTTTGAAAATGTATAGCCTTCGGGAGAAGCTAAAGGGAAAATGTATTCAAACAATCAATCTCGAGGGGATACTTACCGTAACTGATATAGCAGAATATCATATATGGCCATGAGTTGTGAGTGCCAAGGCAGTTTTATAACAAGTGAAATCCTTCTGCAGGAAATTCAGAGAGTCAGAGAGTCAGCAGAAGTGCTCTGTCAGTAACACCTACACGGCTGATCAAAATAAAACGGTACCAGAGTCTCTGAGCAGAACACTGCATCTGCTGGTTACCTTTACAAAAAGCAGTTTCCATTGACTACAGATCCCGACCATATGTCTCCAAAGTGTTGAATATTTACACCTTGTTTTTTTTATTTTTTTATTTTCACAGCTCATAATATTAGCAGAAGAATGAGACCGCTGCAAGTTAGATGTGTTATTCGATGTGTTGCTCGTCACAGTGTGGAGCAAAGTGTGCAGGATGGAACCAAAACAACATGAGGACTGCCTCCTGCCGCTAACAAATACACAGTTACGGCAAGGTGGTGTGCATGATTGTCTGTTGCTGTAGTACAAGTTATCACAGACGGAAGAATTATGGAGACAAGAGCCATCAAGCACCAGACGTTGTTCCTCAATGCCTTCTAGAATGACACATAGAGGCGTTTTCTGCTCTGGCGTGTTTAGGCCAAAAAAAAAAAGGTTTTGAATGCACTGAGGGCTGCAATTAAAGGTCAATGCCTCACTCTCCCAAGAGTCAGAAAAACACATTGCTATAGCTTCCATTGATTAAATAATTATTTATTTTCTCTCACCTTACCAACAAGCTACACATCTCTTTTCTCATATATGGGAGATGTTTGGCAGAAAGAAATACGTTACAATTAGTGATATATTCCTGCAGAGTGGACAGCATAAAATGACCATCTGTACGATACAGTTCAATGCTATTTACAGCCTTAAAAATGACCATACTGCCAAGCATTAGGACTGTCAGGAATAGCATTGGTAGGTTACTGTACCAGCCTGCATGGTTGATTATGATTGTGTTGCTGTGTCCACTCCTTGCAAATTACTCTATAATCAGGAAGACATGTTGTTGTACACACACACACACACACACACACACACACACACACACACAATATCTGACCTTCAGGCTTGTCTGGATCAGGTTTTGTAATTAACAGTTACACAGAAACAGACACACAAAGCTTCAAATGAGTCACTCACATGTTTGTTTGTCCCCGTCCGTCCGTCCGTCGGGATAATATCTTGTGAAGTATCTGCAGTGTGAAGTGTCCGCATCTGGAATTTAAACTTTGTGTGATTTAGTGTGCTGGAGTTGAGGGATCTCTGCAAAGGGCGCCGTACATGCACAGCCAACTTATTAAAAAGAAATCTCTCACAACGAATAGTGAGATGACAAGATGACATAACAAGATGACCTCTCACCTAAAACCCTTCGGTGCTGCTGTTGTCTGTCTGTGTGGGCAGCGAAAAGTACAGAATATCCTGCTTGTTACAAAGAAGAAAAGCTCATTTCCTCATTACTGCAGGACAGGTGAACTTGAGTGCTTTTTCCTGAGAGATGCAAGGATCGCTTGAGAACTCATCCAGAAAAGCCC